TTCATTAACATACGTATTCTATTTTGAAGTGTTACTTTTGAGTTTCTAACATAATAATAATAATAATAATAGTAATAATAATAATAAAAATTTGTAAACAGTGAATGTGAATGACGCAATATGTTTCAAAGTCCTATAGTCTTATAGAGCCCTGTATGAGTTAGTAATATTATTATACTAATATTCTTGAGTACGAGCGTTTTATATTTCTGCGCGTGGTCTAAATGCTATGAAACAAAAGGAGTGACAATCAGTCGAAATGTGCAATTCGGCTGCAGGCCTGATTTATGAATATGTCGGCCACATATGTACCGATTAAAGAATTCATTTGTTAAATATCGACAGAGGTCAATCATCTTTTATAATGGTTGTACGATTTGTTATTATTATTATTATTATTAGGCGTTAGGAACTCGAAAGCTCATTGCCGCAAATACCAAATCCCGCCACTGTTCCCGTCCCTGAGCCAGATCCCTCCATTTGTGACCCTCGTACCCCATTTCGTTAAGGTCCATTCTAATATTTTCTTCCCATCTACGTCTTGGTCTACCCAATGGTCTTTTCCCATCCGGTTTACCAATTAGTACTTTATATGCAATTCGATTCTCATCCATACGCGCCGCGTGACCTGCCCATCTTAATCGACGCGATTTTATGACATTAATAATATCCGGACTATTATATAATTGATGTAATTCTGCGTTGTGTAATTTTCTCCATTCGCCCGTTTCCTCATCGCGTTTTGCCCCGATGATTTTTCGAAGTACTTTATTTTCGAAAGCCCTAAATCTTTTCTCGTCTTGTAATGTAAGTGACCACGCTTCGCTGCCATAAAGGACTACCGGTAAAATAATACATTATATATTACATAATCTTACATTATATATTACATAATCTTGAAACAAACAAAACTACGATTTGTTATATGTAACATATATGTAAATGTTTTATTACTTTGAAATTTCATTATTTATTTGTTTCGAAATATAGATTTTTGATAGATGTTTTTGAGAAAAGTCCGGAAGAAATAGTTCGATTGAAAATCCAGGAGGAGGCGAAAATAGCCAAGGAAACAGCAAGGAAATCTCGAAAAGGTACAAAAAATATAGGTACTATCGTATTAAACACTTTAACTTTTATTTATTTTTGAGGTAATAGTTCGAATATATAAAATTAATTATGAATTAGATTGGAAGTTGCATGGAACTGTGTATTTATTGCTTATTCTCCAGGAGATGCTGGAGCCACTTATCAATATAAAACTAGTGTTTTTGACGTTTTGTTTCTATCCAATTTCTTCGTAATAGTTTCACAGAATAAAAATTTCTTTTCCACAATTAAAATGTATATACTAATAATGTACTTGTTTCTAGTGTATTTCGTGTCTAAAGCTGGAAAAAATGAAAAATTACAGATTTCTGTATCCATTTTTATCTCAGTATAGCAACCAACACTGAAGGTAAAATAGATAAGAAATCTGTAATTTTTTATTTTTTTATTATTTTTCAACTTTGAACACAAATACATTAGCGATAAATACATGCATTATTATGTATATTTTAATCGTGAAAAAAAATTTTTATTCTTTATGAAACCACTACGAAGAAATTGAATAGGAATAAAAACATCAAAAATGCTAGTTTTAACGGTAATATAGGCGGCTCCAGCATCCTCTTAATATAATAACAAAATCGCCATATAGTTGCTGAAGCTAAGGCAAGATATGAGGCAGAAATGTTGCATCTGATCACGTCGTTATGCAACGAGACTTGCCTACTGTTGTTTCCCTGGATATTCAAGGATGAAGAGGGACGTAGAAGAGATAAGAGAACGAGTCCTCCATATGTAGAATTAATCGAGGAATTGCTACCAGAGAACTACATGGTGGAACAAGAACTACGTAAACGAATGAACGCGGATCTGCTCCAGCAAATGCTTCATGAAGTATTTTAATATTTTTTTCGACTGTAACTTGTTGCATAAATATTAATAAAAATTTACTATGCTATTTTTTAACATGCTGCAGTCCACATACAGCTTTACAGAAACTAGCAAACAATTGCTCTTTGATGGTAAATGTATGTTTATGCGATTGAAGATTGTTGAAGGAAAAAAGCAACTTGACGTTCATAATCACCTGTGCAATATCTTATTCAATGAATTGACAGTACCGGAATCGGAAGACAATTTAAATGAAGATTGGTATTAGCTTTAGTATAATTTAATTAATACACACAAATTTCTAATATAAAATTTAATTAGAGGTAACTCTGTGACCTTCCAGTGAATGAAAATGGATTAAAATGGATTAAAATTTTTAACCATTTAAATCCATTCGAATGTGTACTTTAACTTTTATGACATGGTCTTTCATGGTTTATCATTTTTTAGATTAAAATTGGATTGAAAAAAATTTTGAATTGAGCAATTCACAATGCACTTAAAGAACTGAAATTTTCTTTAAATTGAAAGCATAAAAACGTGCTTTATACAATTCCTATAAATGAATAAAAATACATTGGGATTGAAAAAGATTCATTTCAACGTTCGGAAATGCGTATTTCTAAAAATTTGAATTTATTTCGATCTATTCTCGTTTACTAAGCTTATATGATATTCTTACATAGTCAAGATAATACACCTATAGTATAGACCTATAATATAGACGATCAAATCATTAATTATTAGTAGTAGTTCAATTATAATATAATAACAATTAATTTTAATTGTTATTATAATCAATTTATATTTTATATATATAGCTACGCCGGAAAACATCGTCCAGCTTTTGAAGTTCCTGAGGAAAATAAAAAGTTTCCTTTTATTTGGACACCTCCGAATCCCAGAAATAAGGCTATCGTTTTTCGTACAATATTCACTGTTTATACTAATACAATGTATCCGGTAAATATAATATACATATTTGAGAAATATTTCTTACATTTGGCAGTCTTTTCCGAGATTCTTCAAAGACTTAAATTGAGAATAACTTTATATATAACTTTACAGTTGTACATAAAATTAAATATAGCTTAATTATAATTCTAATTATAAGTTATAACATTTGTTTTAATTATAACTTACTTAATTTAATTATATTATTTGCTATTTTAATCTGTAGTACGAAGATAAGATAGCTAAAGTACCAATAACCGTCTTCAAATATGATTATACGCGTAAAAATGATTTAAAAATGGTGCTGGAAATGTTCGATGATGATGTCATCAATTTTGGTATATTTGAATATGATAAACCACCTGAGGCTAAGATGATTGCCAAAACTATAGAGGCGTTTGAGATGAGTACAGAAGAAAAAACGGGGTAATCTTCTTTATTTTAATTAAAAATTTAAAGATTTAATTAATTTTTTAAAACTTAAAGGCAAATTAATTTAAAAATTATGGCAATTTTTTTAAAAGCTTTAATGTTTTATCATTTAAATCTAATCAATTTATTACCATTTCTAAAATACTTTATTATATCATATATGTAGATATGCTTATGTTTTTATTGAAATTTTACATCTTTGTCAATTTTTCAATCACATATAATTAATATATTCGAATAATCTTCTCAAGTTCTGAAAAAAAGTGAAATACATCAAATTAAGTATTTAATCTCTTTTTCATATCTATAAAGAGAAAGCTAATTATTATATAGTTTTATTTGTGCACTAAACTTACTTTACTTTTTCTTCACAGTTACGAAATATTTGTCTGTACCGTAAAAAAAGTCGGTTGTGAAGCATTTTTGGGCTTCGCTGGAATCGGACCTTTTCATGTAAGTGAAAATTTGGAGAAGGCTGTTGAAGAATCGAAATTATATTTCCCAGACATTGTTGCTGTAGAAGAATCGCAATCGGACGACGAGGAAAAATCCGAGGAATTAATAGAAGAGTATCAAGATGATACGACGACAATGTAATTATTTAACAAAATTGAAGGATTCTTCCTATACAAAATAAATAACAATAAATAAAGAGCAAAGTAAGAATCAACACATTTCTTTAAACAAGTCATACAATTAAAAGAATAAAATACAAATAAAGAAAAGTAAAATTGAAGAAAATATATAATAAAAAATAAAAAAAATAAAAATAAAATACAAAATAATTAAAAACTCAGTGTTACAAATTTCGGCTACCGGATTGAATCCTCTTCAGACGTTAAACATATCGAAAAAAACAGTAGTACAAAATAATTATCACAAATGTTCGCAAATTCATAATATTCACAGTTCGGGTGAGTCTTGATGTAGAACTCGACATTATTCACGTACGATTGATCAGTAAAAAATGTATCATATCTCTTGGAAAAGTTCTAGTTGATAAAAAAGATAAAAAGATTTCTTATGAAAAAGTAAACGCAAATAAAGTAACATACCGGAAGTCTAATAAGAAATAAAAACTCACCAAAAAACATAATTATTCAAACAAGTGTGTCCATATAAGTAACGAATAGTCATTGAAATATATGAAGACAAGTGGAACGCAGACGTGAAAAACGGATTGTGTATCGATTATTGTGCATGCTCGCTGATACGGATCACTACGGACTGAGAGAAGAGACGAACCGTCAGTATCAAAAAGTCAAACTTTATTTATTAGGTGTACAAAAAAGTTCTGAGCTTTAGATTTGATACAACCGAAATAACAATTTAAATTTTATATATCTTCCCGCCCTTTTGGGGTTTTAAAACAGTAACATTTAACCTCCTGAAATGCGATACGGTTTGGCGTTTGATGCACATAACCTCAAAAATCAGTAGTGTTCACGATGGCAATTACAAAAGAGCATATTCGATTTTCCATCCACTTCGCGTTTCATCTGAAGAAAAATGCTGCTGAAGCCACTGAAATGATTTGTGCTGCATATGGAGAGAACGCTGTAAGTCATGCAACATGCAAAAGGTGGTATCAAAAGTTTCGCCAAGGAGATTTCAGTCTTAAAGATGAATCGCGTGCTGGACGCCCTGAAAAGATTGAAACGGACGAATTGCAAGCACTGCTGGATATAAACTCTGCGCAAACTGAAAAGGAGCTTGCAGAACAGCTTGGCGTTACGCAGCAAGCCATTTCCGTACGATTACATACGATGGGAAAGGTTCAGAAGGAAGGCAGATGGGTTCCAAAGCTCAGAACTTTTTTGTACACCTAACGACGGCGTGACACTGCACTCAGTTTACTCTCAAAGTTCCGG